TTACATAGAGTTTGAGTCTCAGGTAACAGTCTAGGATCCTTTATTTTATTGGATTTAGATATAGTAAGAACATTTTATTGGATCAATAACTACTTATTGATTAAAACCTTCAATAACAACTTTATTGAATGATAAAAGTATATCTGTCATTTTCAAACTATGAGTTTTAGGACATAAAACCCAACAGATGTGTCATTGAATTTACTAGTATTATTAGATATTGCAAAAGATGAACGGGGATTAGAAAGGAGATTCGGTATGTTGAGTTATGATATATCTGGGGATAAACATGATTTAGGTGGGGGAGAATTTGATAAGATGAGATTTACACGCCCTTTAAATTTTATGTACTCTTCATGAGATCATTGGATATAAAATATTTATGTTTGCTTGAGAACAAGCAAAAAACTAAGTTTGGGGGTATTTCATAGCACACTTTGTGAGCTACATTTCATGAGATTTATATTAAAATTATTTGTTAGTTTACGTTTCTTCATGATAGATTTAAACACATAAGATTTTTTGCAGGAATAAAGTATCGTGAGGAAACGAGACATATTTGGATCAAAATGTGAGAAAAATCGGAATCAAAGTGACCAAGATGAAATAACAACAAGATTTTAAGCCAAAAACCCGAGGAAATAACGCCACAACGATAGGCCCAGAGCGACGCGGTGCTCTGAAGTTTAAATTTCACATTTTTTGAGTAGTGTAGCGCCACAACTCTATATATAGCACTATGGTACTACCGCGACAATTTTATATAAAATAGGAATTTGCAGACACTAAGATGGAGGAGTTTCGGAGAGATTTTTTTATAGTTTGCCTTTTTGGCGAAATTGGATGGCAAAGATACCATTGGATAGTTGAGAAAAGAGATTTTCAAGGCTCGTTATCGTGGAGGTCGCTTCGGGGACGGACGAGTGACACACCAAACTTAATTTCTTCTCCTTTGTCTTGATTTTTCTAGTTTTGTTATGGAATTCTCATTGTGATTTTATTGTTTTACATTGAATATGAGAAGCTAAACCACTTATCTTAGGGATTGATGTAGCCATTGAACTTTATGGATTGATTGTTTAGTTTCCTTGATTGAATGTTTATGAATAGTTCTTTTTATGCTTCTCTATGCTTAATGCCTTTAATCTACTGATCATAGATTGATTGATTTTAGACTTGAAACCTTACGCTAGGTGGTTTAGAGTTAGAACTATGATGCATAACTAAAGGGATTTTAAGATCAGGAGATTTAGAAATCCTCTAGAGGTCGTTAGAAGACCTGTTCAATAAATTCTTTATTTGTTATATAAACCAGATTGGGATATTGGTTTCCTAATTGGTAAGGATAATTAGCTTGTGCTCGGGAGAGGCAGTTGAGATTTGAGAGTTTTTGGCCTATAGTGTTGAATCTTGAGTAATTAAGTAGTTGGTTCATAGATTCATTAGGTGAAAGCAATTCCCTAAGACTTTTATCCTCATTGTTTTAATCTTTGTTATTGCATGTTTATTTATTTTGATTCTATTATCCCATTTATTTTGGTTCTCTAAATAAAATTGAGTGATTGTATATGTGGTACTTAAGTGAGCTAGAAATTCAATCTAGAGGATGATATCAATATTCATATACCAGCTATATTAAAACTTTACACGTACACTTGCGGTATGCAATTTCTACTACACCATGAGACACACTCTAAGTGAAGCTCAAAGGGTTAGTTCTCTCATCAAATTATTTATGGATCACCTTACTCAAAGTCCAAAGGATGAGATTCGACCAGAAAGCTCAAGTTGACATCTAAGCAGTTAGGACACCAAGTTAAGCCCAAAGGGTGAGCTCTCGTGAAAGACTTGCTTAACTTTGAATTTAAACCCTTATGGTGTTGTTTGTGAAACCCAAAAAATGAGTTCTAACTAATAGTTCACCCAATTATCTAAACATTTAAGAACCAGCCTGAATGAAGTTAAAATAATGAGCTCCCACGAGAGAGTTAACATCAGTATCGAAATATTATAAAACCCTAGTTGAAGCTTAAAAGGTTAGCTTTAATGAGATAGCTAACTCAGCATCCAAACACTTAAGGACTTCTTAGGTGATGACAAAATGATGAGTTCCCATGAAAAAGCTAACCTTGAAAAGCCAAATACTTTGGGGTAACTCTAGGTGTATCTCAAATGATAAGCTTACACGAGAGAGCTCACGTCAACATCCAAAGAGTAAAAAACAATCTTACGTGAAACTGAAATAAAGAGCTCACTTGGTCATCCAAACTCTTATGGAGCACGATATATGTGAAGGGATGTGAATCTCGGAGCGGAAGCGGACGGTTGTTCGTGAAATTTGAGAAACAAGATCAAAAAGTTCAAGATGAAAATACAGAGCAAAACCATTACCTTTCAAGAACTTTTCTTCAACGGTTTCCACCCGAACACCACCACCGAGTCTTCCTTGCTATCCTCTTGGGTTTCAAGAACACGCTTGTGGGAGCGTTTCGTTTGGAAGAAGAGGGGATCTTTTGGAGAGATCGATTGAGCGAGAAGAATGAGAGTTCTGGTTTTTTTTTTCGTTCTGTTCATCTGTCTTTTGCAGAACTGCAAAAGGAAGAACAAAAAGCAGTGACGTGGGGAGTTACCCCACGTCATTTAACTGCCCACTCCCTTGCAATTTTGCAGGGAGTTAATTATTAATTTATATATTAATATTATTAATTAATAATAATGAATAAATATATATATATAAATCAAATAAATAATTAACACTTAATTATTTATTATAAAATTAGAATCATATTCTAAAACATTTCTCTCGCATAACCTATAGTTGTAATGTAAATCTTATGCACACTATTTTCAACCTATAGTTTTAATATGAATCATATTCATATTAATTTTATTTGAATCTCATTCAAATAATTTCTCTCATAATATATAGTTTTAATTTAGAATTAACTATATGTTATAATGTATCAATATACATATAATCCCTTAAGAAATTTGAATAGTTCAAATTCTTCCAAAACTTTGATTCTCGTTTTACCCGTTATGAGCTAGTAAGGGGACCTAATGGACCTACAGATCCGAAGCTTCAACGATACGAGATTAATCGGTCAAACTTATTGACCGAGTTAATCAACATTCGTTAACTACAGGTCACTCCACTAAAGACCCGCAATTGCACTAATCAACATTCGTTAACTACAGGTCACTCCACTAAAGACCCGCAGTTGCACTCTTCTCACTGCAGAATGTTTTTGTGTCCATGAATATACGACCATAAATGACGAGTCAATCCTTCACGAGTGCTCGTAACTCAAGTTGGGTCAAATTACCATTTTACCCCTGAGTTACATCTTACTCATTAAATACCACTGCTCCTCTAATAAACGGCCCGGTTATGGTCCGACCAATAACCGGAAGTCCCTCTAGGGCCAATGAGAGGGTGGGGCCCCTTATTCAAGTCTCGGAGTCAGCATTTAAGAGAACACTCATCTACTCCCCTAAAGTCGGAGAGGAGTGAATTCCATCTTGTGAAGTTATGTTCCCAGCT